AAAAACTCATGATCTATTGGAGGACAGACGCAAAGATGACATTACCATGATACCACCATTAACAACGTTTTTCTGATATTTTTTATCGTTACGATTCAGGACAAACAGATTGCATACTACCGTGCATCTGTTGCGTATCATATAAAAGGCTGAATTATGCACTCATTTTGAATGCCTCTTGCTCAAGATTTATTGGAGGACAGACTCACAGATGACGTCACCATTTACAAAATGTTGCTTTTTCGTCATGTAAAACAACAACCAAACCAAGCCGCCCTCGTTTTCCCGCGCTTTAGGCAGGCTGCGTGAAGCGCGGGAAAACGAGAGCGACCAACTCATGATTTGTTTTAGTTTGCTTCTTATTGTCTGAGAGAGTGGCACGAATTTTCTGGACCAATCTCATTACAGAGTAAAGCAAAACCAATTACTCTATAGCGTAAAGTGAAAATAATTTAATCTTCAAGGTTATGTAGCAGCAATGTGGCCGTTTGCGACGGGTTGACATCTTTCTCAGAATTCTTTTCAGACCTTTCCACGATCTCTAATGTGGACTTGTAACGAGTCTCGTCCAGATACATGCTTAGTAATGCTACCACAAAAACGTTCAATCTCATGATCCCATACGGTAAGATTGGATGGATACGTTCCTGAAGTTAAGACAGAAAAGCAAACCTGGTCTTCGTAAATCGTTTTCTAGGGTGCCGCTACAACCGTGAAGAGTCAAAGAGAGTCAAATTAAGAAAAATCCCAACTTGCAAAAGGCAAAGACTTTCCTTTTAGTTATGCTGTAATACTAGTGGCAGTATATTAACATTGTGCGACCTTTGGGTGAGTTCATTTTTTGACCCTGAGGCTGACTAACGTTTAATTTCTTACTAAGGTATCACTGCTGAAGAAAACATTAGGCTCATGAAAATTAAGAAAATAATCGCAAACTTAAAAATGAAGCTCTTGATCTTTAATTGAAATCTCCTTGTGAACGCTATATAATTTATTTAAAAACAGTATGGTGAATATACACGCTGATGGTATAGTATGAAGGACTTTCCATTGAAGTAACCAATAGGTTAATGAGTTTTTTTTCGTCGAAGGGCTAACAAACAATTCGTCAGCTCCTCAAAACTCTCTGTCACGACTTATACGACCTTAGGGACGCCGATGCGATCAGTAAATCATTGATTTTATGGGTGCGTGTGAGAGAAAGAAAAAACCCAACGCGCGCTTGTTAAATAGAGATCCTTATAGATTCGAATTCGAAGAGATTCTAAATGTTCGATATACCAGATAACGCTCTCGCCCCGAAAAACTTTGCTTGGCTTGACAAAGATGGATGAAATTTTCAAAACACTTAACTATTTTTTAAATGATTGTGGCATCAATCGACAGCTTGAAACAAAGTCTAATAGTTACGATGGAGGCTAGTCCTAAAAACTCTTACCTAGTAGCCGTAGGAAAAAGCTCTGCTGAATACAAAACAAGGCCATTGTACGATATCATTATTCAAAACTTAGCCCAAACCAGCGACATAATTATTTTAGCGGCAAAGAATCCTGTTGAAATGACAATACTGATTGTTTAAAAGACCAATGATGTAAAAAACTCCCTTGAAGACATTTTGCAAAGTCAAGGACTGACCGTCTATTATTGATATTAACTGACAGCTTTTTGAAATTTACTTAATAGATGGCGCATAGAAATTGCCCTGTTAGTGGGCATGTACATGCTTTCAATCAATCTTGAACACCATTAACAAGAGTTAAACTTACCCTTGTTGGATTCGTCATCTGTTGTCAAGAGAACGGAGACGGCAGCACCGATAGCGGTAAGAATCATGGGAATGATAACGCCCTTTTTGCGTCCAAACCTAGAAGTGATTTATTTCACATTCGGCGGAAATTTGAACAAGCCAATCTTCAAAAAATTCAATCGCCAAGAGTATATTCAAGTTCTCCATTCTATTCACCATAAATTCCCTACGATTCTTACGAGGAGAATTTGTCTAACAATCAAAAGTCTCTTGAGTTCGCGATCATTTTCTCTATTCTCATGACGTTAATGTGTGATTCAGGGGGGATACTGTTGCGAGAAATAAGATGTATATCTCTCATAAGGGTTAAAGGGTCAGTGGCGGAACTGTGAAGCCTGAAATGATTGAGTTTACTGTCTTTGGTAGTTCTACCGAAGTGAAACTTTGGAGAGGTGAGGAGGAGGTAACATGTTATCTGCAAGCCCCAGTGAGACGTTCTTAGATCTAGAATATGATTCCATCACCAGTAAATAACATGGAAAAGTCTCGTAACTGAAAAAAAAGAAAAAATTGATGATGATGATTATTTTCGAGTTGAATATTTCTTCTTCGTGATCAGGGTCTTAACAGCCATCTTTCGTTAAAGAAACAAATCTCGGATGTCTCCCATTGTCTCTTCGTGTATTTCCTCAAGTTTGATTTCCTCCGTTGGAATGTTCTTGTCATTAACGTGGGAAATACTCATGCAGAGGTCCTTAGCCTTCCTAGTCTTCCTTTTCACAATCAGCCAGCGAGGAGATTCTGGAGAAATCCTGTCATGAAGAAAATAGTGACTAGGAGTCTCAGATGAAGTATCAATCTGAGGTAAGTAATAAGATACTTAACGAGTCACGTCTAAGATTAAAAATACTAAAAATACTGTGAGCAGTAAATGACAAAGTAAAAATTTTGTACATGAATCGAATGATTTGTCTCTTGTCAGGTGGTTCCGTCTCAAACAGTGACCTTCGAGATACAATGACAAGAACCAAAGCATGTAGCCTCCGATAAGTTAACACTTTACTCCCTGAGAGTGACAATCATTTAACTTCTCCAAACATTTTTACGGCTGAATCAAACATTAAGATTGCGAGAATTACAGAAAACGATCTCCAACTTGAATCTCCATGAGGAATCTGGAACTCGACACTTACAAAAAGCCAAGTACAAGAGGAATTGCTGGTGTCCCTGTGACAATGCACAGTAATCTCCGATCTGGTATGAGGTACGCGATTCCCGCTAGGGCCATCAACGAAATGCTCCAAGAATACCAAAGAGAGGTTCCCATCATAGCTCTATCTCGAACGCCACAAATTCGCAGATAAGAAGGAACAAATAAACTCCCACGCACGCCTGATGAAGAGAAAAAGGCAGACGAAGATTTTGAGTTGCTTCCTACAACTTGACAAAAGCTCTGTAAAATTGCTGGTTCTGACTGAAAATGGGGGGACGGGCGCCAATCAATTCATCAGCCTAACTGCCTGACCCAGTCAGTCCTAAGGGCTATATCTTGTCCCGCTGTCTCCGGCCCGGATACTAAACAAACGCAATATTAACTCAATTCTTCCCAAACCCTGTATTCCTATACCAAAACTTTCTTGATTCAACAGTGATTGAGAAGGTAGAAGCTTCAATCCAATATGAAGGGGGTAAATACCGAGGATCATCTCGCAGAATCTTACGTCACATATAATCAAAAATGAATGAATCGAGTTAAATGCATAAAATCTTCATTGCAATTATAACTGCGTGCATTTGCCTAGGATTTACCTATAATGAGTGGGAGTCAAATTTAGATTGCTGCAAACATACTCTCAAGCCCAGCTAGTCTCTGTGGTAGGCTGCACAGAATGAAAGCTGTTATGAGGAAACACATCTTCCTTATTGTTTTGACTTCAATTTCAAATGTCATTCTTGTTTTCCTCCTGCATCATAATTGCTCTAGTTGAAACAAAGATATCTCAAGACCATGGAAACAGTAAGACTCTCTAACGAGATTCGGAAATCAAAGATATGGTATGGCTAATGGCACTAAGGTATGTCTTTATTTAACGCAAAAGTGTTATCAGATTTAAAAGATGTGTGAAGTGCGTTAAGTAATCAGACGACTTCTTTGTAATTTTCTACATATAGAGAATATCAACACATTCACAGGTTTCCTGCCTCCCCTCCCTCCACCTGAATGGTTGTCAAGTTTTGCACTTTAGGAACGAATAATCATTCAAGTGATCCTGTAGTTGCTAAGAAAGGTTAATAGGGATAAAAATGAAGCTGTATCTCCTATTGAGATATCTGGTGAGAGATAACAGACGAAGGGAGGGGGGGGGATTGACATCAGGTAATGTTTATTCCCACAGTAACCAGCCTTACTTCTCTTGAAAAAATTTAGGAAGAGTCAGTGGAAATCTTTTTTTTCTTCCTTAATTCATATCCCAAATGAGGACTTGAAATTTCTTATAAAAATTGTGTACTCGTGTTTCCCTCTTTAAATAATTATTATTATTCATTTATTTTCGCATCTTTCTTTGTTCATAATCTATTTTTTTTACGCAGACAGATAGCAAACCTAAATCAAGAGTTCACGCGTTTGAAATTTAAGAACAAGGATCTTCTACCGCGAGAAATGTCTCATAAGTCATTTATGGCGATGTTACAATTGGCTACTCAGACTTTGGCGGACTAAGGGATTCACTTAGATATACGTATTAATTACAAATAACCTGCGCGCGTTTAAATATTTTACAAAACTTTTTCTTGGAAACTCAGTGTTGTTAGAATAGTAATGCTTGGTTTGACACGGAAAAGAAAGTTTTAAAAAATCAACCCTTGAATGTCACAAAAGTGCAAAAACAAATGACACTCCACTCAAAACACCCAATAAAATGACACTATTGTTTATACAAATTCATTCTGAAACCAATATTTTTCTGTCAACCAAAGTGATTTGATAGAGAGAAAAGGGAGGATTCATAAGTTATTTATCGGCTTGAGGTAGTGACCGACGTGTTTGCTTAAAAATACTGCCCAGCCGGAAAACGAGGTATATTTATGAGAAATGACAACGAAAGTTGTGATGTACTCGGCGACTCACGAAAGCGTTACCGTGGCCCGTGGGCAGAGATAGGAAAATACTGACCGGGTAAAGAACCAATCAGATTGCAAGATTCGTTACCGTGCCCTCTGAAAAAACAATAAATATATTTATTACACACACGTGCACTCTGATATTATAAAATATAGGTGAAAACCGTCGATTCGGGAAAGTACAAAATTGCAAATACAAAAATTCATAATTCAAATAAGTTATATTAAATAACACTCATAAAAAGTATGTGCTACTGGTCTAAAATATTTACACGACACATAAGCATTAATAAATAGAACTTGTTGTGGGTAGCTGTGCTTTTGACAACCTAGTATTCAGCTTTACAAATCTCACGCACAGATATACAAGTTTCCTTAAATAATGCAAACAATTTCAAATGTATTATTGAACAATTCTTTCCTATTCAGACTTGAAGCCATTCTGAAGTTCTGCATGAACCGTTTTAAACCTTCCATGTCCACAAATATGTCCCCATGTTACAATTCTCTCATTCATATTCTTGTAAATTAATGATGACTAGATACTATATTAGGATAACACCTCCCTTTACTGAGGAAAGTTTGCGAGGTGCATCAGCAAAAATGTTTTCCCCTCCTCTCGTATGCACCAGCTCCAAAACACGCGTGACAGATTAAAAGACGTTCAAGGCTTAGATGCCCATATAAACTAAAAGAAATCTCAAACAATCAGGAAAATGTCTGTGCATTCGTAAAATTCTTGTATAAAGCAAAATAATACAATAAAACACAGAACTAAATAAATTCGTTTGGTAGGAACGTACACAGAAATCTTATTATTCCAATAATAACTCCTTAAAATTTTCCTCCTTAAAAATTCTTGCTGTTTTCTTTCTATTAGTACATCTATCAATTATTAGTAAATGTGCATAATCTATCGCGTCAATGATCATCTTCTTTTTCTAATTTAACGTTAAATTGTCATTTACAGACAGTTGCATGACTAAATAATCTTTCCAATGATAAAAAGATTGGTGAAATGCCGGAAGATGGCATCCTATGAGCGGACTGCTTGGGTTTCACTTTGGAACGCTTTTAAAACTTTGCTCTGTGATTGGTCCAGAAAACTCCCGCCATCCTCTCAACCAACCAGATACAGAACTAAACACATTCGCGACTTAATCATTAGCCTTTTTCCCGCGCTTCAACAATCTGTTTGTTTTCACTTTGAGCTCTCATTGACTAAAAATTATGTTAACCTTTGCTCTGATTGGTTTCTGCGATGGCTTTGGTTCTGGTTTTTTAACACTTTGTTTAAAACTGCTATGAAGACAAATCGGGCAAAACCAGTGCAATCCCAGATTGCTCCCAACACTCAGTTGAAAAGTGCTCTTTCAATTGACTACCAAAACTAGTTTCCGCCTGTTTCAATTTCATCGTAGTCCCCTTCTACCTGGGCGCTAGCGTCTGAATTGACGTATTCATAATCGTTAGCTGGAGGCTGCAAAACCAAACAAAAGAAACCACGTCTTACTTCAGTGAATATGTTTTTATCGAATAATCCGGCGAACTTAAAGAGAGATTGAGGTCAAAGCCACGTGTCACTTGACCGGGTCAGAAGCAAGTAAGCAGCTAAATAAGGATCTGAAAAAATAAAAGATACTCACACCAATGTGAATAAGCTCCCCCAAAGGTTGAAAGTTTGGTGTATGCCTTCCTGCTTCCCAACATCGCCATTTCCTGAACAATTAAGAAATAAAGTATTAAGAAAGAACAAAGGGAATAATTTGCATATTTACATGAACAAATTGAGACAAACTGGGTCGAAAGACAACGTGGTGTTTGGAGTTCATAAATTGGCAAGGGACACTGAAACAATATCCTGTGGTTAACAACCACCATATCCTTCGAACGGCACTTTGATATACTCTCACTAACAGACGGAAATGTTATAATTTGGTGAAAATTTAATGTTCGCATACAGTTAGCATGCGATCAGGCCCTCACCGTGCGCACTGCAGGGGAAGAGATTCAAGAGAAGTCAAGGAGAGGTCTCCCCTTGCAGACCTCTTGCGGCTCGCGTTGCTCGAGGCGGGGCGTATAATGAAGGCGTGGTCGCAGGCTATGTTCAAGCTCAATTTGCTAGTTTTAGCCAAATTGAACATACCACATTTTAACGTCATCTGTAATCTATTGGGGAGTTTTATATCCACGTTTTTTTATAAATACATGTGACCGCAAACGTCTAGGAGTCACGTGACCAGACTCCAGCGGTCACATGCGCCGTTTGCCGTCCACGTTTGAACTTCGGGCGGGGCAGGTACTTGAACTTCATCGACGCTTTTTCTCTTCCTGTTCGAAAGTTCTCACGTATGTCCTATAAATATATGTGAGGTGAGGTCTTTCCTTTATTACCAATCCGTTTGGGATGCCACAAAACCAATCTTTTAGCTACATTTTGTGTATGAAATGAAGGACCTCCATCTTTGTGTCATTCAAGATGGAGGTGAACATGTTGATTTTTTTCAGTTGAAAGCCGACGTCGATCTAAAAAGCTGAAAGTCACGGAAATTCTAACTTCTAACCACAAACTGCTGACCGCGGTTTGACGTTGCAGTAAACACACCAAACGAGGATCTAAAACTCTTTATCATTAAACAGACGCACAGTACCGTGGAATCTATTTGTTAGATTGAAGGGCCTTCAATAACGCAGTAAAACCTGGGCAAGTGATGGTGGTACATATATATTGACAAACATTTTGCGTACCTGAATAAGTATACAACACATAGAACTGCTACGAATACCATGACCGCTGAAATGGACAGCAAGACTATCTGTATAGTACTCAATTTCTTTTGATAGTTTGGTTGTGTTTCTTTCTCTAAACAAAGCGATAACACTGTAAGTACGTGCTTCAAGAAATTTTTTCTGACCAACAGCCTGTACAATTTAAAAGAAAACAAACAAAGCAGTGCACTTGGAGACAATATGGTCCTAAATTTCTACGATAGAAGTGCGTGCAATTATAAAGTCGTAAATAAAAAGTAAACATGGACTATGCGTGGTTTTGGAGGGTAACTAAAGCGAGAACACCAGAGAAAACTGGAAGCTAAAATTTAAAGAGGTAGGTAAAAAATCAACAACAGATAACCCCTGGAAAACGGTGAAAAATATTGGGAAATATAAATTTTTCCTTGGTACAATTATCCAGAGAAACTGAGGAAAGAATAGTAGATTAAAAGATTATACAAGATAAAACAGACGAAAACAAACAAAAATAAATGGTACAAGAACACATTTATGAACGGTTGGTTTTCGAGAATGCTGGTTAAACTGTACAATACCTTAACGTGAAGCTAAAATATTACTTTTAAACTCTTAGACTTCATGCAGGTCTATAGGCGTCTCACACATTCAATATTTCCCCTATCCTTCCCACTCACCTTGCACTTCTTTGATGATGTACGATTCACCAGTGTTACTGCACTTTTTTTCTTTGTTACACATCTTCAGGTAAACGTTATATTTGGTCCGAGAGTTTAGTTTCGGTAGAGTGGTCTTGTTTGAAGTGGCATCTATGCTGTACTCTAAAGTTTGAGCTTGTCCCTTGCCAACGTTGCGGGGCTTACAAAAAACCATGTATTTACCGGGAGTACCACGCCATGAAGAAATGTCTGCCAACTGAAAAGAACAGTGTAAGATTCCTATGTTATACTTTTTTCTTCATCCATGCATGACAGTCCCTTCCTGCCTCGAGAGAGTATGCTTCTTTCTCGGGGGAGGAAAAGAGAGGACCTGAGAATGAGGTTAAGATGTTTGGAGTAATCTCTTTTGCTTAGATTGATCGCGATGTTAAGCTAAGCGCGCTTTGATTGGTCAAGAAATGACAATTGATCGCACTCGGCATACAGCACAACTGATGAATGAGGTTTTCTGCAATTTCTTTAATTGGAACCCGTCTGCAATGAACATTTCATTATGTCTAAATATGGTCTATTTCGTTTGATTGTGAGCAGGTTCCTTTACGAGAATGAAAAATAAACTGGAAAATGTTTAGTTCACAACATATGGCTTCGTAGCCCAGTTGGTAGTGACGCCTTCAAATGTATCGAGTATCTTAGAGGCACGGGTTCGATTCCAGCTCAAGTCTGAAGGTTCATCAGCTCACTGGCGAGGATATTTATTTTCTTTACATTGATATATAACATTTCGACATCCGGCGGTCAAAATATTTAAATAAATCGTGAACAACTAAAGTTAAAGTTGTATTTTGTCGGTAATGTTCGAGAGCAAGTTTCACTTGTGTTTACCTTCCATTCTACAGTTACATTTCTGAGGCCTGAATTACCAGGGAAGATGTCTGAACGATCCCTTACCACTACAGGCGGATTGACTGGAACTGCAATCGATTTAAAATATATATAGTGTGTATGATATGAGTCAGTTTCACAAAGGAGGATGCTCAGGCCTACATTAGTTCAGCTTTATTATCTCCTCACATGGCCAATTCACATTATTAACTCAGTTGATAAAACCAAATTCTCTTGTAATACCCCTTTTATCGAAGGGGGGGGGGGGGGAGCCCGCACGGATATCACTAGTGCGCATGATACTCACGTGCGCGAGGAGCCCCTATTACTCAACCTATCAAACGGCCATAATAAGCTACGTGATGTGCATTCCCAAATATAGAGAGTCAATAGAGAGTCAATAGCGAAAGACAATACAGCCAGTTGATCTGTAGAGGTTGGCAATTGGAAGTTGAACTTGGGTGTTAGCCTTTAACCCCTAAGAGTGACCAGCGTCTTATTTCTCCTTACAGCATCATAGCTGAATCACACAATAACTTCACAAGAATAAAGGACATCATTACTAACTGAAGAAAGATTGTTTGACAAATTCTCCTTCTCAGTACCTCAGTAGATGTATAGAGAACAGTATGGAGAATATACATACTGAAAGACCTGACCTACCTCCTGGTGATGTCCTGATAATACGTGGCCCTACGATGTCACTGTACGCAGAGTTGGGATAGTCATCGTTTAAAAATCTGACTTTCAAGTACACATAGTAATATGTAAATGCTTTCAATCCTATTAGTATAGTGAACTGTTTATTTTTGACAACAGCAGTCTGAAATAAAGAAGACAAAAGAGGAAAATGCTGAAAATAACTTTGAAAAATCAAACTCAAACTTGATTTTATAGTTAAGAAACCTTTCTTCACCAAAGGCCATCACTGAGCATAAAGTTGGATCTGAACAAAGTGAAATCAGCAATGGGAGATGCAGTGAACTCCAAGACCTGGCCGGATTGAATTGTATTGTGTTATTAGGGAAGGCACCTTAGCTTCTAACTCTCACAATGCCCTCTCTACCCAGGAGTACAAACAAGTACAAGCGAGTTGTCAGGTAGACTGATGAAATGGTGGGGAGTAACCTTGTGAGGGACTAGCATTCCACCCAAGGGGAAGAGGTAACATTACTGGTTGCTTCCTGCTACATGAGATAACCTCTGGCTTGATGGGCCAATAGGCATGCGTGCAGAATGTAACACAGAATAGCTAGATTATGATAGCAGGAAATGTGTAAAAATATATAATCCCCATGTCCACAAACAAACAACAAATAAGACACAAGTAACCCTCATTCTTTGAATGTTTTACAATCTACATGTGTGTCCAAGAAACAAACCTTATTGTGTTTGTCTCCCCATGTGTGGTAGAGTACTGTATACTCAATAACAATGTACCGCCAATCCCTTTTTTCTGCCCAAGAAACTTTATATTCCTGATTCCTGTTTGAAAGTTGTTTCACTGTGAGTTCTTCTGGTGGCCAAGGTGTAGCTGAAGAGTACAAAAAAATATTGCACGGTCAAATGGTTTTGCAAAACTATCATAACCATGAAAGTTCAATGATAAAAATACAACAACAATTGATTAACATAGGTCATTCATAGACTGTTGCATGCTTAATGGCAGACAGTTGCAATGCCTATCACAGTTTCCATAGCATGAAGGGAATAAGCATACTGTTGTCTTCCTTCGGCACAAAAGGATAATTATCAGTCCACACCACAGTATTTTTTCAAAGGATATTCCATTGTGGAGCTGCAGAAGAGGGAGAGGGGGGGGGGCTATATATAAATATAAATTGACCACTGTAAGGAGTTTCAAAAGCTCACATTTTGATGGCTAGCCCTTTGTCAGAGTGAACAAAGAAATCCCAATATTCCTTTATCAGGAGTTTCAAAAACTTTTATCCACGAGCAGCTGCCAATGGTGTCATGGGCAGCTGTGTCATCCATTATAAGCTTAATGGACTGCATTGAGAGTCAGGTCTTACAGGTGTCAGTAACCAGCTTTTAATGACACTCCTTCTTTATGACTCTGTTGAAGAGCTAAGACATGAAATTTCAGCTCTAGAAACTCTTTACAGTGGCCAATTTACATCATCAACTTAGAAGATAACACCAAATTATAACCCTAACCCTAACCCAAATCAGCTATAGCTAGCCAAATTGGACATGAATCAAGAATATTAAAAATTACCTTCAAATAAGTGGACAATTGGTAAGAAAATCGCACTGGTTGTACTTCCTACAGCATTTGTAGCAACAACATAGATGGAGTAACTACATCCAGTTCCACAACCAGGAATAAAATCATCAGTTGCCTTCAGTATGCATGATAAATGTCTCTCATTTTTGGGAGCATTTAAATAATGACATTTATCAATCCATTTGCAGGTAAGTGCTGATGGCAGTGCTGGTTTCATTACTGAGTCATTTAAACAAAGCTTGATAGAATAGTCAATTGGTAAGCCACCAGTATAGCTAGAAGCTTCCCAATACAAACGATATTCCCTCTTCATAGCACCAATAGCACTCCATTTTAAATTACGTGGTGGACTTGGTGGGTCTGAAGGAAACACAAGATTGCAAAATAAGTCAGAAATAAGAAGTGAACAAAAGGTTACTTACATTGTTTCACACACTGTAAGTTAAATCCTTTGACTCCCAGAATGCAACTTCTCCTTATAATATACCAGTATATACATTATCCAGCAAACAGGTAATGAGAATACTCAGACTTGTCATGTCAAAGTTTTCACCTTGATCTAACACTGAATTCTCCTCAATAATTTACTAGAAAAAGTGTAACAGCTAGAGAGGAGAATTAACAATCAGATCTTGGGAGTTAAAGGGTTAACTCTATGTAATAATAATTATACATTTCCAAAGAAACATGCATGTGCGCTTTTTTTAACGTGTTTTTCACAAGGGCATGTACCTCTGAGCTGTAATATACAACTGTATAGTGTTTAGCCGTAAAGAGCTTCTTGAGTTCATGATGACCTTAATGTTGGGTTCAGGTGTGACACTGTCAGGAGAAATTAGATGCTTATCACTATTTGGGGTCAAAGGGACTGATGAGTAAGCACCAACTGGCAAAGGAAATTTAAACCCTTTAACCCTTTCATTCCCATGAGTGATCAAGACAGAATTTCTCCTTCCAGTTTCAATATAATATAAGCAGACTTAAGTGACAAGAATAAAGAAAATATCAGTTCAGGGATTATAGGTTGATCTAAGACTAAATTCCCTTAACTAACATCATAAGAGGGGTATGCCTGACAATGAAGAGAATTAATCATGAGATCTTGGGAGTGAAAGGGTTAACCCATGAGTGACCAAGACAGAATTTCTCCTTACAATATCAATATAGTATCAACCAGATAAGTGATGAGAATAAAGAAAAATATCAATTTGGGGATAATTAGTTGATCCAATGCTTAATTCTCTGAACTAGCATTATAAGAATTGTATGGTTAACAGTAAGGGGAATGACAAATTTGATCTGGGAGTTAGAGGGTTGATGCAGTGATAGAAGAGAGGTTTACCCTTTAAACCGTAAAAGTGACTCAACCATCTTAGAATTTCTCCTTTACAAATTATATCACCCCTGAATCAAACATTATAGCGTCATGAGAATAAAGGGAATGATCACCAACTAAAGAAGCTCTTGATTGTTGAACAATTTCTCCTTGTCAGTACCTTAGTAAATGAACAGAAAACAGTGTGGTGATGTTAGGGTGTACTGTAAAGGGTTAAGGCTAAATTAAGGGTAAATAGTGACTAGGATGGTCATGGACAAGAGGTACAAGAAATGAACCAGGGGGAGGTAGAAGGTTACAAGGGGCGAAAGGTCTTGGGTTACAGGTGAAAAGTGAGGGTCAAGAGGTGAGGTGTGAAATGTATCATTAATGCCATGATCATAGTGGCTGTTGAGATAGAGGATGCCTGAAAAGGTTATCAAGTGAAAGTTAGCTCTCCACCACCCATAGTGTCTCCATAGGAATGTCATGGTTTTAGGCATGTTTTCTGATGAAACTTATTGGGTGTACTGAACACATTCCCATCAATTAAACATTTAGGTTGGGGACATTCCTTGGAGGTCATGTAATCAGCCTCATCAGATATGAGAAATGGTTTATAGATCTTGAAGACCTATGGGGGAGGAGGAGCATTGTTATGATATTGAGAGCAATTAAGAGCTCTGGGTACTTTTCAAGTTAACAGACCTTGAGAGTGGGCACTGATTCAATTTTCACCATTTTCAGCAAAGAGTAATAATTATTACAAAAAATGCACAGTACAGAGTACCTTAAGAGATTGTAAGCTAGTAAAGAAGTAATCTTCAAAACTCCTCTAATGTGTGGTGGGGAAGTTGGTTGCTAATGTGGGGCAGGGAGCTTATAAATTTTCCTACATACATGGTGGGCTCGTATTTGGTAGCACTAAATCCTATAAATAAGGTATTACCTGCCACAGAAAGTGAGATATTTATTCCTCCAGATTTCGTGTCAGAAATTTGATTACACCAGTAAATTCCATTATCAGTAGTTTTTGCATTCAATAACTGCAGCTGCAGTGTGGCATTGTCAATTTGTCGTGTTTTACTTCTGGATAGTTGTTCTCCATTGTGCCACCATGATAAATCAAACACATGTACATTCTCCCCTTTAATGGTACAGTTCAACAAGAAGGTTGATCCCGTCAAGGAAAAGTAGGTATTGTCTGGCTGTGCTGGTTGAATTATTAGATGAGGAGCTAAAATTGAAAATTAAGAAAAACAAATGCAACAATTATGAACCAGAGTAATCTTATACTTTTAAATCTCTTCCTAATCAGTAGTTTTCAAAATGATGCTTCTTGAGCTATCAACAGCTTTTGAATCTGCAAGGGTCTGGATGTTGGGAGAAAATAATGAATGTACATTATACGAGTTTGATTAACATTAGTAATATGTAAAAAGCTGAATTCTGAATTGGTTCTTACTCATGTTCTATTCATTGCAGGTTATAGTTGCATTAACAACATTTCGCTTTTTTATCATATTAAACAAAAAGATTCTATGTTGTCCTGAGTATGTACAGTAATAGATTACAGGAGACATGAAAATGTGGTAAAAACATCAGTGACACATTTCACTAAGCCTTGCCTGCCAGTTTTGCCACATTTGGACATCATCTGTGATTTATTTAATTTACTGAATAACAGCACAGCAACATGGAATTAATTTGTTAAGAAATTAATGGAAGTACTTGGGGTTAGAATATATACATACATAAATACTATATATATATATATATATATATATATATATATATGACCACATAGAGTATTATGAAGTTAAAATGCCAAGTGCTATACTAACAACTTGTTATTGTTCTTCAAGAATACATTAAATGCCCAAGAATATATGAAATTCAAACACATATCTCTCTCTAGATTCTACGACTGTATTAACACTGAAATGTTTGTCCGCACCAAGACATTATTATAGCAATGTCTCTAGTAGAGAAAATAACTTATGCTCATTCCCTCACAGCCTCCACTACTTGAAGTTTGAGAAGTGTATCATTTACATACAGTTAATGACCATCCATTAATGAAGACTGGGAGCAGTCTGTTTTTCTCATGATATGGAACAAGAGCTTCAGGCAAGAATAAATCAACAAACTGAGATGAGAGAGGCCAGCGAGACACTTCATTAACAATGGTGACAGACTGTTTGAAACATAACATCTACGCACAGCTGTAGCCATCTTTGAAAAAGTATTTAGGAATAAAAATTTAAATTGAAGTAAAGATTGCTTCAATGGGCCCCTTCCCATATCCAGTGTTGTAAAATTGCAGAAAACAGAGTGCAAAATTTAACAGGGGAAGGAGGGTTGAAATCAACGGTATCAGGGAAAAATTAGTATGCTCTTACACAATATTGCAACCTCGTTGGTTGTGTTCGCCGTTAACAGCTTCGCATCTTTTGTGTTGGAGCTACACTGTAATTCCTTTCAACTTTCCATATACTTCAGACCGGAAAACAAACGAATTGTGTGACCATCTGATCTGGGTATCTACACATAATCCCTTTCAGGAAATAATCAGATTGGTCGCAAGACATTGGATTATGAATTTTCTCGTCCTTTTCATTGTTTTATGGTGATTTTGTGTAATCGCGCCACTTGAATGCAATGCCGTCAAATATTTATTTTCTTGACGTTGCAAATCTCAAAAAAACAAACAAAATACTTGACAAGTCGATGTTGACTATGGCACTTTTAAGCCATCCAAAACGCAAGGAATGTACACTAAACGTGACAACAGATATCTTTCGCGTGTGTGTAACAAATTAGTATTCGAGAGAGCGCGAGAAGAATTTAAGTCGACGCAGTCACGTACCTCTAGTATCGTTTAGTGTCAATTTACAAGGAATATAAACTGGGCCTGTATCTGTAAGTTTTCCCTTACAAATATATGCGCTATCTTGCGCACTGCGTTATGGATTACAGGTGTGATCACGAGTTGAAAACAACTTGTGAGAAATATGATCAAAAATTAACCCAAGCAAAGGAGGTACCGCATCGAATCAAATTCAATAACAACGTATCTATGTCACATGCAGAAAGAGAGCTTGACAGTATTTACTCTCTTTAATTGATTTTTTTTTAAGCGGTTGTGCTACATTTTCGGAGCGGCGGAGAGGTATAACGGAAGAACGTATTTGGACAGCCTTTGATCTATTCACCTGCAAAAGAATTTACGCCTTTGGCACTCCCTCTCGATTCACCCTACCTTGTGTAGCATTGCTAGACGATGAAACTTCGATCAAAGACCACAGCAATAGAGATACAAAGTTGACTGGGTCAAATCTTCCGAATGTCGATGTCTTCATCGCGACGAACTGCTCCAAAAACTGTTTAGATCCATGTTAATACAACAACATTGATCCATCGTTGTTCACGTCGATTTGCAGCTGTTGTCGACATTGAGCACAATGATGTGTCTTTCTATTGAACCTCAATCTTCGTCAGTCTCATATGATCGTAAAGTATGATAAAATCGCTCTTCATCTTGCTCCATTAACCTTCACATTAGCCTCCGTCATGTCACTTCCTCCCTTACCACGAACTGTCGTACGAAGTCACTTGCCAATCCCGTGGTTTTGTGGCTTGGTTGTATACGCTTCAAGTACGATGGTGTGTGGTATCTATGGAAACTTCCGCCCTTGCCTCTAAGAGCGTTGAAATAATTAAAAGAGTCGATTAACTTGACATGTACATTGATAAAGATGGTTCGTTTCATTGTTTGATACATTGTTTTATGGTATATTTTCTCGTAAAAACTAAATCGACAGCGCCTAAACACCGACCGCTAACATGTCCATCCTTTCTCCGAAATTGCAGCTCATCGGCCTTCGACCCTGTAACAGTTTCACATGAACATCACACAGTCAACTATAAAAAATAGCAACACGTGCTTGTCAGACAAGGCCCACCAACACTATGGTTTAGATCTTCAGTTTAGCTCATGATCTGCAGGTGCACCGTATGGAGCCTAATCTTATCTAGAGACAACACGCCCTCATGATTTTCACGAGACCTCTATCTCGCCCGCTGCAATCAAAGACGGGAACTGGGCAAAACATTTGATAAGACGCCTGAAATACAGAATGAAATGGGTGAATTCTCAATTCCTGTCAGGGATGACACCACCGAGAGGCAAAAAAATTTCAAAATGTACTTTTTTGGGAGATATGTCTAGAATATGGCGAAAATTCGTCAAAATAGTCAATTCCGCCAAGCTGGTTTCGCTTTGACGCATTTGACTAAAATTCGCCAAAATCGTGAAATCCATAAACATTCACTCGGTTTGACGAGATTTCGACAAAAGAAATACAGTTGGTATTTTAGCTCAGAATAAGACCTTTTGCGATCAAAACTGTTTAAGGACTCAGCCAAGTTTAGACCGAGATTCTCGATATGGTAATTAACACCAGTTAAGCTTTGTTTCTGGTTCTTTTGATTGCCACAATATTTTTGCGTTCCAAAATTAAGATTATTACTGGGCAATTGTTTCTTCCATTACTGTTTATCAGAATCTACAGTCAGACTGACTGCGTAGCAGTTCGTGTTGAAAATTCTGTAACTTGTACGATTTCAAAACAAAATCTACGATTTTGGGACATATCAACGCTTCAACTTGAAATTTACCTTTCTAATGAAGAGTCCCCAACGTCGCAAAGCCTCAGTTGAAGTCAGAAAACTCCGTTTTGTTTTCAGCCATAATTCGCGTTTGGGAATGAAGTATCGTAAACTCCAAAACCAATTTCTTCGCTTAAAGGGCTACATGCTCGTTGTTTTTTTAAAATAGTATTACTTAGCATATTTTCTATATTTTTTAGCAGATATATCTTCGAATTGGGAGAGAACGGAAAACAATCTTGAAAGTTTCGAAACCTTTGCCAACAAGAAATTTCCCCGACAATGACGTCAGCCTGAATCATCTCTACGAACATCCATTTCTTTTTCATCAAATATTGGCCAATCAGAGCGCGCGTTAGGGTGTAACTATGTTATATATGACTTTTTACAGAGGCATACAAATTTTTCGCGAGCGATTTTGCGTGCGGCAGTTTTCTGTTTGTAGAATCATCAACCGCACCTGTAAACTTTAGGCTATTTGTAATTTTTCAAAGTTAGCGATCCACACCGCGCGACATGCATACGACCCAGCTGACTGGGCAAGCGAAACAAAACATTTTACTGAGCAGATTTGTCGAGAGGAAATATTTGCTAATATAAATCGATAACTAACCAGTTCGTAACAAAACAAATTAGTTATCGGTCAGAAACAATGATGTGAGCATTGTGATTTTTCGTCGCTGTCAGGTTTGAGAAGATTAAATTGAAGCTTTCAAAGTCATTAGCTGGACGCAACGGCCGCCAAAAAATGATTTGCTTGTTGCAGAGTCACTTGACAGTAAAGCTCTAAATCTGGAATGGGAATTATAAAAATTTTACTGAAAAAAAAAAGACAAAAATGAATTGGCAGCGTGTACCGTTGCTTGTACAATGCTATCCTATGCATTACGTCAACGGCGCGCATTTGAATCTCGCGGCTGAATGTGTTCGAAAGTTACATAACTGTAACTGGGAAAACGATAACTGAAGGAGTCAAGTTCCCAGAATTACACAACTATTCAGAACCTTTTTGGATTTATTTACTGCCTGTCTTTGGACAATTTTTCCTCAGCAACCCGGGAGGAGAGTGAAGATGTAAGAAATAGGACACTTCGTCTGCTAATTGTAACTAAAAACATTAGTAATCATAATAACCATCAAATTTTGTTATAAATTTCCTCTCATTTCTTTTCCCACACTAACAGTTCTGAACAGAAATACGATTCGCTCATTGCTTGCACTGATGGAATGCTGCCTTCTCTTTCCTTCAGAAACATTTGTTTAACATATCAGTCTTTCAGCTCCTTCTCTCGGAGTCGTTTCAGGACAGCCCTTCGCCTCGCTGTGTTGACATTCCACATCAGCTTTTGTCTCAGCCAGTCTGGAACCCGTGATATAAACCAGTTCTACGAGAAGAAACGTAAATTCACTTTAGGAACACCACTGTTACATTGGCGAAATATTAACACACACTCCTCCTTTTACATTTCGTTTGTGATCCGACAAAAATTTTCGCGTAGTTTAAAAGTGTCACGTGAACGATTACGCCCCATCTACAGCTAAGGAAAATATCTGGTGATACCAAAGATGTCGAAGATACTTTCTTATTTTCGTGTCTTACGACTGATGGAAAGAAAGGCTTTCTTTTACAGCTGATTGAGGTTAAAATAGCGTTTTTTCTGTTCTCCCAGAGGAAGAAGAAATTTATTTCTTCATAAAGTCGCCCCGATGACCTGTCGACTCAAATACACTTTTGATCTACTGTTGTTATAAGGATTGTGCTAAACGATAGAAGGAACTTGATTAAAATTAATACACTCTTATGGTCAAGCATCTTTGCTGACAAAAAACTAGTTCATTTTGAAAACAAGTCTTCCATTGCAAGACAACGGCTAAAATCTATTTTTTCAAATAGTTCTGCATAATTCACATTGATGAGGAAAGCACTGTACCATCACAATAAAACCAGCTCTCAAAAAATGAGTAAAAATATTTGGGTTGAGTAACACACAGCAGACAACTAACTTCTTTGCTCTCATTCATTCTGTCTTTTTAGTGCACTATCTGGTTTAAATTGATATATCACAAGTGAAAAGTCAGCGGAAAACATGGATGAAAAGAAATGAAAAAAAATATTTTAACACATTTTTTAAGGCTTGATTTTGGAAAAATTGTGCAAAATAGTTTCTATAAAGACTTTAATTAGAAATGTGTTGGCCCTTAGATTGTGTTTAGTGTTTCTTCCAAAGTGCAGTTACCTGCAGAGCATGGCTCCAACATCCTACAGTCCTAGACTCCACTCCGAGTGTTCCCAGGGCCTGACGAACATAAGTAGTTGGGCCTGGAGCAAAGATGTTTGGATTCCTGATTCTGCTCATCTTAGTAGCAACATAGTAGGGTAATACACACTGAAAATGAAAAAAAAACCAAGATGAAATAAAACATACAATGTAAAACCAGTGCTTATCCGAGTCTCTGTAGGATTAGCTTATCCTAACCCTAACTCACAAAAAGTATTACTCCCCCACCACAGGATGGGACACCAGTTCATCACAAGGTTACCCATGACAAAGTTACCTCCCCCCCCCCCAGCCTACATGTAGCTGTACCCTCCCCCCCTCCCCACACCCCCAAGGAAAAAGCAAAGGAAGGGAATTTCTACAACACCTGACACAAATTGCATTTCAGGCTAATAACAATCAGGCTTTCCTGACAATTTGCCAATACCTATTTCTAAGGACTCAAAAGAATGAACCAGCAAGGTCTTGAACCCAGACCTCAGTACCCTTAGCACAGGTTATTAACCACCAGGCCACTACTTCTCATACAGTACCACATGATTAATGCATATCCATTAAAAGGCACAAAAACTCAGTATGTTGAGGAAAGAGCAATCACCTGAACAATGATGCCCTTTGAAGAATACTCTGCATTCAGGCATCTGCTGAAGAAATCAACAAACACCTGCCAATAAAAAAAAAGTTGTTATAGAAAAAGGTTTATTGTAAGAAAAAAAAAAAAAAAAAGCAAAAAACAGAAAAACAAGAAGACTGATGCAGCCCTCTAACCAACTGAGTTATCAAGGAAATTGGAAGCTATTAATTGCACAAGCTAAAAAAAATGCTGTTCTGTTCAGTAATCTGGGGAAAATAACAAATTTTTTTTCCTGGCCCCGTAACTCCTCTCATAATTTTTTCCATAGAACAAAGAGATAAATGTCAAGCATGTATAATATTAAGGATAACTGTTAGTCAACATCAATTAGGTGAGCAACACAGACCTTGGTCCCAGAGTACATGGACAGCAGTGGAGTAGGTGTCAGGCCTGCTGCAGAGGCTACATTTATTATCAGACCTCTTCCTCTAGAGAACAATGCAGATACATCAGGAAACAGTTACTCCTAATCAGCATAAATCTTATCATCAATAAAAAAGAACAGTGTGTGCAGTTTTGGACTCGTTCATAGGAAAGAAAACTTGAAAATTGTTTTTACCAGACCTAAGAAACAGATTATTTTTCTGGCATGATTAGGTCTACATACATGTACATGTACATGTACAGCTGTAAAGGAAATACACTACATTTAATCTATTCTATATCAGGTTTTTTTACTTCCCAAAAGCTATCTTTATCTAAAAATAAAAAAATTGACTTCTTGCTGGCACCCACTCCTATCCGACACACAGACTGTTGTGTTACTAATAAAAGCTTGCTAGCAGGAGTCATCACAGGAAAGTAACAGTAATGGAAAACACAAAGCAGTCAAAAAGAAGGCATTATGCAAAGGTATTTTAACTCCCATGGGACAAAATGCCAGTCCTTTGCAGGTAACAACCTTGAGGACTTTTTCAGGCTTCTGTAACAGTTCACTAATATCTGTTTAAATTCCTAGGAGAAAAAATGCATCTTGAACAAGAATGCAACACAATTCCCTGGGCTGATCTTGGACCCAGACATCACAAACTGGAGTCCAGGGCTCTCAGCCTTAGCCACCCCATGCAAAGTCTAAACAAAAATGAAGCTCCAAAAGAAATCTTAAATGTCCACAAACTTACTTGGCGGCCATGTCTGGAAGGATAGTGTGAGTCATCTTTATGGAAAAACAAATATTTTAATAATAATAATATTTAGTACATATAAGAGTCATTTTCTATGACAAAGAAAAAACTATAAAAACAATATAACCACAAGTTCTAGAAATAGCTGCTGTGCATGCAAGTACTGACCATTGTGACAGAAAGAACATTAACATTCAACATCTTCCATGCATCCTACAAAGAAATCATACAAATCATCTGTAAACTGTTACAAATAGGTGGCCAGAGAAAATAGGCCTTTTAGATGTTTACCTTGGAAAACCCAATTTCACCCCCCCCAACCTCATTTTCAAGGCACAAACTGGTGCAGTTTATTGGCAAAAAATACCAATGTGAAAACATCAAGAAAGTGGCAAAGATTCATGACAATTCAAGTGCAAATGAGCTACTTAGACAAGACTTAACAGTACAACTTCCCATTCATCTTAAATATCCATAACATACAAATTTACCATTATTACAGAAAATGTGAAATAACTATCAAAGTTGCCTTCAGTAAATTCATTGTGGAAGGGATTATTAGCTCAATATAATTTATGTTAACTTATTTATAATATATATTTATGTATGACATCTGTCAGCATTTAAGCTAAAATGGCAAAAATTCAAATAAAACATATGTCAAATGCTTATCATTGGAAATTTAATGACCGTCTACTAATGTCATATTTTACCTCTTGCTTCATGTTGCCAAAAAATTCTGGGTAATGTGAAACTCCAACATTGTTGACTACAAAAAAAAATAATAATTTAAACAATGAACCCTTTAACTTCCAAGATCTCATTAGTAATTCTCCTTACTGTCTCCCATACAGTTCTTGTGATGTTAGTTTAGAGAATTTGGTATTGGATCAACTTATAATCCCCTAACTGATATTTTTCTTTATTCTCATCACTTGTCTGCTTGATATTGTATTGATATTGCATTGATATTGTAAGGAGAAATTCTGCCTTGGTCACTCATGGGAGTTAAAAGGTTAAACAAATATTTAAATCATACATTACTGAGTTAACAGAAATAAAGGAAAAAAGTAAGAAAGGAAAGAAGGAACCAGAGAAAAAAACAAAAACAAAGAAGAAAAGAATGAGTGAGAGATGTCCTGAAAAGGACTGTTGTACTTGGTTGACACAGATGACGACCTCTGTCTGTGTTGTCCAATCATCAGTTACTACTACTGTACATATATATGTCCATCATTTTCAAGACCTCTCACACCCAGATAATCAAATTGAAAAAAATCAAATGCTATTCTTAGGTTTGTAAAATAGAGGTTTTAGTAATGGTATTCATAATGCAGTCGATGGCAATTTATGGAAAGTGTACCAAAATCTTGCTGGCTACCAAAGGTATGCAATAATCCCTTCATGCTGAAAACTCATTACATTTTTGTTACGCTTATAACTCACCCAATATTCCAATATCAAGACCAGCAAGTTTGTCTCTTAACCCATCATAGATTTCAGCTCCTCCAGTGAAGTCCATAACAATAATTTTAGTTTCAGTGCCATATGCTTCCTCTGTGAATCAAAGTAAAGCACATGAATAGAAAAGCTATTACATATGTGTACATATCTACAGATCATCATTGATTATTTCAATGATTTGATAATTAGATGTGATCAACATGCAACTCCTCCCTGTGATTTCAAATATGTTATCATGCCAACAGGGTATGAGAACAAACAGCCTTATCAGCCAGAATACATCATCAAGATATATCACCAAATTCTGCCCTTTAATTTTATGAGGAAATGTATAGTGGTCCAAAGGAAGACTAATTAATTGGATCTTGGGAGTTTAAGGGTAAAGTTTGAATTTCAAACAAACATTTTTCATTTTATAAATTACTTACTTAATTCTGTAGCCAACAATTCCAACTTTTCTCCAGTGCGACTAATCAGGACCAACTTGATGCCTTGCTTTGCAAGCTGAGGTAAACACAAAAAGACAAAGTTACACAAACAGTGAAGCTTTCTACAGACATGTTTGGAATACAACAAAGACATATCAAAGAATCTTTTGCTTTTATGTATATTATGGAATGAAACTGATGAGAAATTTAAGATTCTAACTTCCTATTCATTTAAAAGAGACTTATTTTCACATTTTATTAATTTATATTAAGTTTACTAGTGATTGCTATATTTAGAAATAAACCTTGTTGCTTTTGGTCTATTGGGTGGCAATGATGATGAAAAACCCTTAGCAAAATCCCTTTATTTCATATGTGTTATTGACCAAACATGAGATTTCTTGCATTACTATAGACAGAGATAAAGTCAGGCCTCTTCAACCTTTAACTCCCAAGATCTCATTAGCAATTCTCCTTCCTATGTGCCACATGATTCTCTTCATGTTAGTTTGAAGAATTTGGTATTGGATCAATTAGTAATCCCATAATTGATAATTTTCCTTATAATCTAATCACTTGTCTGCATGATATTGCATAGGTATAGTGAGGAGAAATTCTGTCTTGGTCACTCAGAGGAGTTGAAGGATTTAGGGGTAGTATAATTTTTGAGGGAGAGTAAAGTACTATGACAATTAACTCAGGTGGTCAGGGTAAGGAAATAGCCAGACAATGAAACTCTGGAATCCAAAGTCCACACAACTCTTAACCACTATGCTGTAAGACCACTTTACGTACATGTGTAGTTTTCACCAGACTAAATTACATTTTACCAAAACATAAAAAAAGGCATTTCAGACAGTGGAAGGAAACAGCAGACTCATGATAAGGGTCCAAGTTCACATCTCTTCCTCTGTTAAATGGCTGAATTTTTTTTTTTTTTTTGGAAGTCTACAGGTTTACTTTGTCTTATCCAATCTTACACCACTTGGACTGATTTGGAGTGATTATATTGCCGTGATACAACTGAGTTATCACTACCATCTTTTTAGACTATAAAAAAGTATTAAATTATTATTGACTCAATGGTTAATCATTTATTTTTCACAGAAGTGAGATGCTTGCATTATGAAAATCACAGTACCTCATGTGTGTAGGCTTTTCCGATTCCGTCGGTACACCCTGTAATCACTGCAAACGAAAGAAAAAAATTGGCTAAGGATTACAAGGAATTTATTCAGCTTAAGATCTGCACACAAAGAATGAGACGGTTTGCAAATCAAAGAAAACCCTTAACTTGTTAGTCAGGCATAACAAACTTTGTACTTAGATACCTAATTTCTAACAAACATGTGAGACATTAACCAGTAAACTATGCATGAAACTAGAAAAAAAGAGATATCTTGCAGCACCACTGAAAAAAAAAAACAAAATTCGTTCACATCAGTGAGCTCATCTAATCATGTAGTCCATAAGCCGTCATGTTACACCGTGGTATCACGATCGAGTCGAGCAGTTCGCGCTGGAAAAACTCAAAGTAAATGCTACCTTAAGGACATTCAGTTCTCCTTGGTTCTAAGGACTTCTCAATGAACAGACAGATATAGCATGTAACACGGCAAACTATCCACTAGTTAAACTTAGGAAGGATCGATTGGAGTAATGTACTTATAAAAATTACTAGCTTTGCGCAAATTATAGCCAAGCTTACCTGCCCATTCACCAAATTTCTTAAGATTCTTTCTAAGACCAAGAGCAGGAAGAACAAAAGCTCTTATTCCATGAAGAACTTGCAGCACAAAGTTTAAAGAATAGTAGCCAAGAAATAAGGCACCGACACCGGACAGAAAATTCCACTCCATTTCTCCACACCAGCTTTTACAATATGACAGTCAGGAGTGTTACAACCTTTGCACCATCGGACCAATAGGATACCTTCTTACTTCTTCCAATGAAAATGCGCGGTGCGCGTGTCTTCGTTTCAAATGGGGACAGAGTGGGTAGGGTGGATGTTTATTCTCATCGAGAATTTGTCATTAGTAATACGCTACAGGTCATATTATGGGGTTTCTTTGTGTACCCGATTATTTTCGAACGAGCTCGATATGAATTATTTTGGAGTGCATTCAATCAATTAGCCAATTACATTCAATCAGCCAAATTCTAAAATGCCTTAAAATGGCTGGAATGTATCTGAACACGATATTTTGGCAAAGTGAGAAAGTCTCAGTTGGTTGATCAGCATCCATCATTGGGATGCAGCATGTCTCACATGCGTGGGACAAGATTGTGCCAAGCATGAAAAGTTGAACCTGACTGCTAACCTAGTTATGATAAGCGCTGCGTGACACCTTAAACAACGGCTGAAGGAGACTGGGGATGGATTTTTGTCCGTTGCGTGACTTGATGCGTGACTTGACGCATATATTTCCAAGGCCTTCGGGTTTGCAAGGGCGAATAGGTCACGTTCTATCGATGCCTAAGATATTGAAGGATACTACGAATGTTCGGAGTCAATGTGTAACTCGAAAATGAAGGTTAGCCGAGAGGCGAAGCTCTGAAGGGCGAAGGCAACCTGGAAATTTTGAGGACACCATTTTCCGTTGCCATTATCCTGGTATAAGGTCAGTGTAAGAGGAGTGTAGGGTGATCGTGCATCTGGGTATAAAGGACAACACAGAGGACCAGGTGACTGGTTATACTATGGTAGCTAACGTCGCTTTTTATAGTTTCCAGTGCATCCATCGCATGTTGCATGATTCTCAAATCAAGAATTGTCATCGCTGTGACTAAATGCTCGGCAGCCGGGCACGGTCTCGCATAGACAAAATGCCTAGGAGTTAGAAAATTTCACAGATTTTCCACCGGAAGGTGCTTTCAAATGTCTTAGGATTATCACGTGTTTGTTTAGAAATGCTGAGCGATTCCAAAATGTCTTTGTTTCTTCGGAGGACAAACTCTACTAGTTTGACCATATTATAATATCGCTCTGTTGTCGACACTTGTACGCATCTGATCAGACGTACTGCCGTTCACGGTCTCAAATGGACTAAATGGCTGGCAGTTAGAAACTTTCACCAAAATGCCACTGAAAAATTCATACAAACCTATTGAGTAAATTCGACGTTTGTTTGAGAATTTTCGCTTACACGTACCATACTAAAACATTTTAACATTATGCTACATTGCAGTCTGCACTAGCTCGGAAGATTTGTCCATTAAAAAACCAAATTAATTTGATTCTGTAGAGGGTAAACGAGAACAGAATACACAGTTGTCTATTAACGGAAATGTGATAACTTTTCGACCAATAGTCGTTAGGAACATGATTTAGTGAAGGACATGAGTCCCCTTTTTAAACCAGTCAGTGTAGACTGAAACGATAACGAAAAAATATGCATGTTGTAGTTATAAGTTCACGATCAATGAACTTATTACGTATGATTATCCATAGAAAAATTCTTCGACATGACAGTATTCTCTAACAATGTCTGCGAGCGTTGGAACACACGTTTCTTTCCTTCTAATTGGTTGGTGGCGATCAGTTCGTGCTTCTCCGGCGTACATGTCAATACGCTGGTGAGAGTCAGCGATTAAAGATTACAGAACTCTCTACTGACAGAAATTTGATAAATTTTGGAGCAAGAGCTCTAGGGAATTCCAAGTAGAGTCGGACTTGAATCGCCTTTTAAACCAGTCAGTGTGTGATGAAAGGGGATCAAGTGAATTTGCATGTTGCAGTTAGATTTTTATCAATTACGCTGTAATTCAGGTATACTGGATTAACGATTGACGCCTCATAGAATGCACACAATTGTGCGGCTTTTCACGGTAGACGTATGTATGAGGGTCCCATTGTTCGCGTTTCCACAAACCAGGTACAATTTGGTGCGGAATCAGTCGAATTTTTCAAGTGAGACAAAAACACACTGCCGAGTCAGCTTATCTAATTAGATCACAGGTGGCCCAAGCTCCAGTTGTGAGATGATCATCTTGCGAATTTAGAGTCATGGCGAAATTATAAGAATTTGTATGGGAATATTTACGACCGCTCTTAGGAATATAATTACGATCAAATTCTCAATGAAAATACCTCACCTTACTTCTACGGTGCATCGCTTTCTATCTGACCGCTTACAACGTTGAAAAGAACCCATTTTAGCGAGTTATCCATTCCTAGGTTTACTACGTAGGTAAGAAAAGCTAAAATGGGATCTTCTCAATATAGTAAGCGGTCAGATACTCAAGAAGCTAGAGTTGCTCGAGACTACGCCTCGAGCAACTCTGACGCATCTTTCGAGCTCTCCAAACTTTCCGCGTGCTTCATATCTCAATATCTCGATGAACGCACGCTGACGCATGAACCAATTGTTAAATGAAATGTTTTAGAATAAGGGCCCAAGTAATACGAAGAAAGGCTACATGTCTAGGTAAATTTGCCAACTTTCAATCACGTCATGCCTTCAGCACTGCCATAGCTCTTAGAAAAACATGTTACCTTTAAGAGCTCCTCTTCCTCTAGAGTTTGACCCTCCACCCTACTCTCTCCTGTCGCTTATGACACGATAGGGTGTGTTACGTAGCCTGCACGTTTAAGGGTTAAAGTGCTGTCTTATTTTTTACAGAACAAGCAAAAGAAAAGGATAACCAACGAAATATGGAAAGGAGTGAACAGGCGGTTAGTAGTCGTTCCACAGCCCCACATCCTTATGACTCTGCAAACTGGCTCTCTCGAGTAACATTGCAGTGGATGAACACTGTCTTAAGACTTGGCAGCGGAAAACCTCTGGAAAAGGAAGACATTTTTCCCGTTCGCGAGGCAGACAGTATGGATCAACTCGTTCAAAAACTTGAAATTGAATGGCAACGAGAAGTTAATTACAGCCGAGCCCAAGGCTGCAAACCTCGCATGTGGAGAGCATTATCCCGAATGTTCTCATGGCGGGCGTACATGACGCTGTTTATTCTGAGAGCACTTAGATCTCTTGCCAGCGTTTTCCTACCGTTGCTGTTGTGGTTTTTCTTGTCAGACCTGGAACAAGTGCAGCAGGGATATTCTGTTTCTACCTTTCTGTTCGTTGGCGGTATAATTTTTCTTTCTGTAATCAAGGGACTGACGAAGAATCACTTCAGTGGAATAGGAGAAATGTGGGGCATACGACTAAAGGTGGCGTGCATTGGGCTCATCTACAAGAAGGCGAGTGCCACGGATTTGAAGCAAAGTGTAGTGAAGTAGCTTCTACTTTTACGCTGTTGATCTCTTTTAATCTGTAAGGGCCGCTCTTTAGTTTTCACAGTTTCATTTCGATGGTATTCGGGGAGGAAGATACTGGGAACGGGCCTGAAGATTGGGGACTTGCCTCTATCCCATGCATTGATGTAATGATTGGGTTATAGTTACATATGAATGTCATTTAGCAACCAAGCTTCCAAATTCAAAACGGTAATTAGAAAAGAATCAATCCTCTTCTTAGTTGAGGCGGATTCAGAGAACTATTTTCTTGCCCTACTCCCTCTGCTTTTTTTCTTAATAGTTTAGTTTGGTTTTATTCAGAAAAATGGTTCGCCAACACATGGTCATGTTATCAACCTAAACTATTCTCTAAAAATAACCAAGTATCTTTGAATATTTACTTAACTTTGTGTGATATTCCCCTTTTTACACAGATTCTAACTCAGCTTAAGCGCTGCGACCTTCAGAAAATTGTCTCGGGAAAGACCATAAATCTTGTGTCAAACGATGCTCAGAAGATGGAACGAATTGTTTGGGCATTGATCAATTTTCTGTTCTCTCCAATCGAGATTCTGGGTCCTTGCACAATTCTTTTGGTCTTGATAGGATGGAAAGCTCTTGTTGGAGTTTCATTTTATTCGATATCCATTTTTTGCATCATTGTTCTGTCACATTATAGTGGAAAACTACGCCTCAAAACAGCAGAAGCTAGAGACAAAAGACTGAAAGTTATGAACGAGGTTGTATATGGTGTTCGAGCTGTTAAAATCTACGCCTGGGAAATGAACTTTACTGATATAATCAAGCAACTAAGGAGGTAGAATAAGCAAAACAAACTAATTCATTCATGTTCATGGTGCCCAGGGGAAGAATATACCATTACAATGTTTGACCTCTACCTTGAGCAAGCATCCGAACTAATTCAAGAGTTCTTTTGTAGCTGGATATCCGTATTTCCTACTCGTTGGCTTTCAAGTCTTGAAGTCTGCTCGTATTCTTTCTTTTTTGTTTTCATAAGCAAACTAACAAACAAGACTAACTTGGAAGCGGGGATGGCATAGTGGTGAGAGCTTTAGTCTCTTACCTCTCTAACTCGGATTGGATTACTGAACCTGGCGTTACATGTGGGTTGGGTTTGTTAATGGTTCTCCCATCTTTGCTGCGAGAGTTTTTCTCTGTTTCCTTCGGTTTTACTCCATCCTAAAAAAAACCCACACTCCAAATTCTAATTGGACCTGAAAACAGTTAAAAAGAAGAGCCCCCTCATTGAATGTCCATGGCTAAAATGCCTGTGTTATTTTTTTTATTGTTATCACCATTATCATCATTCTTTTTCTCCTTTTTCTTCTTCTTTTTCTTTTCCTTCTTGTTCTCCCCTCTTTTTCTTCTTGTTCTTGTTCTTGTTCTTCTTCTTTTCTTGTTCTTTTTCTTTTTCTTTTCTTCTTCTTCTTCTTTTCTTCTTGTACTTCTTCTTCTTCTTCCTCTTTTCTTTTTCTTTTCTTTCTCTTCTTTTTCTTTTCTTTCTCTTCTTCTTCTTTTTCTTTTCTTTCTCTTCTTCTTCTTTTTCTTTTCTTCTTCTTCTTCTTCTTTTTCTTCTTCTTCTTCTTCTTCTTCTTCTTCTTTTTCTTCTTCTTCTTCTTCTTTTTCTTTTCT